CGAGAAAAGATGATAGAACCATTAGCGGATCTTTTACAAGCATATAGTAGAAGAAATAGCTTTTATTCCTCTATTTTTAGTGAGTAGGGTTTGTCAACAACACCTTGATAGTGACACCTGTAGTTCCACTTTTTAGGTTTGCTAATTCTCCATAGTAGGCTACTGACAGTCAATAGATAGTAAGCCGCCTAGATTTTTTATTGTGAGGTGGTGATTTTGAATTTGGGATTAGGTCTTTGACACTCTGATAATAACTTTATTTTTACATTTGCCTAAGCCTTACGGTTAAATTTGTAGAGCTTGCTTGAGCTCAAATTCCCGCTTATAAAAGGATCTTCTTTCATCGAGTAATTTAAGGTTACGACCAAATTATTTAGTGTTGTCTTTTAGCAACTACTGTAAGCTTGCTTCAGAACTCCAGATATCATTTGATTATCATTTTTGGATTTAGATTACTAAACTGCTAGACTAAAACTAGCGAATGTTTCTATTTTTTTTTGATAATTCTTTGCCCATTTATATGAGCTAGAACTCATTATCTCGATTAATTAATCCAACTATTAACTTTACTCTTTCAAATGATTGCAAAGTCTAATAAGTAAGAAAATGAGTGTTGAAATTATCAAATAACGAGTGCAGCATACTGTAAATTAATTAAATCCTCTTTATTTATAAATCAATTAAATCCTCTTTATTTAATCTCCGGTCTGTAAAAACATTTGCTTTACAATCCAGTATGTGTGGATATTTCAAGAATAGCACAATTTTTTCTCTGGCAAACCCACTTTACACACTCATTCTTCGGATGAAGAGCATGTTAAACTTTGCAAAGAGTTAGACAACTATTCACCTGCGCTGTGTTGACTGTGATCCTAGAGTTGTTTTCGCTTTTGGCCCCCTTACGCACTTTAAAAAAGTGCAAGAGGACTTGAGAACGTTTCTGTTGCTGATGTCATGTATACCACTTTGCTGCACGGGGTACCGCTAGAGATACGAGGCCTAGCGACAGGGAAGATAGTGAAAACGTGTGAGAATAGGAATGTGCTAACCAAAATAGTGCTCTATTCAATCGTCATTCACGCGGATAATATTCAGAATAAAAAATATGACACGTGTTATGCGTACGTGTGGTGTCAGTGTCAGAATGTATGTGTACTATCTCAATGTTTTCTTCTACTTTTTTGTGTTAATCTATTTCCGCAAACTGGTGACTGCTTTTACAGTGTCTGGAACTGATTGTGCATTTGCAACTGAGAAGAAACAAAGGTTTACAAGACTGGAAGGGTTTTCTTTGTAATGTTTGCGCAAAACGTTCTTTTTCGCGACACAAAATCTTAACGAATTACTTGGCCTGCGTCCTATTCATTGCGTATCATGCACCTGTTGTAATTGTTGATGAATGGTGGGAAATCTGGATGATGTATTGCGTGACTAGGTAGTGACCAACATGCATTTAACATGAAATCATTTCTAGCATTTTCAGGAAGAAAAACATTTGTCCATCTGTTTTCATGTCAAATTTTTCGATATTTGTGGGAAAAATATTTTATGCTCTTCGAATTTCGATTATAGCTTCTTGTACATATTTCGGTGTTAGCTCATGTTTAACCCTGAATATTGTATGATATATAGCGGAATTACTACCTAGAAAGATTTTTTTTTGATTGTTGATTGATTTTATTTGATTTGTTCTTTTAATAAATGTCCTGTCTTATATAGGTTTCAGACAAGCTTGCGTGCATTTTAATTCGAATTTCTTCAGATAGGCGACTATAACAATTATGTTGCTGACACGTTCAAAATGCCTTATGATCCGGACACGGCTGCCGTTTTGGTCCTGAGTACACCTACCATGTTTGATGTTTCTTTCAAAAAATGGTTCATGCAAAAGCGTAAAGAGGTAATTTTCTCCTTTGATTATCCACCTTTTATTCCTTTGTTTTTCTTATAGTATAAAACTATGGAAGCTGTAGTCGAAAACGTGCCACAACCTATCCAAATGTTTGTGGAGTCTCGCCTCGAGCCACTGCGCAAGGTTGTCTCCCTTTTGCGTCATCGATGCAAAATGAATAGTCTACTACTTCCAGAAATTAGATGACGCTAACATAGACTATGAAGTTTTCTACGACAGCTCGCTATGGCCGAATCGCAAACCAAAGATTCTTTTGCAGACATGCGGACATGTTTCTGGTA